TACACGCTCGCCTCGCATGTCAGATGTCCGGGGTTCAAATCCCGGCACGGCCATTGGATATGCACTGCTGATGAGCTCTAATAAGAGCGAAACTCGAGTCCAGCGCTTCCCTTTGGTTGTGACTCACCGGAATAATTACGCCAGAAGCGGAACACGGCCGTTCGAACGAGAGTGGTGTGGCTATGAATAAAGTATAATCCCCGGTGACTTACACAGTCTCTACAAGCATGTGATGAGTGTTTTTGACAGAAATCAGTGATACCTAAAGCGCCATTCAGCGACATTAATGTATAACTATGCAGTCGAAAATGAGGTATTTGTCGTGCAGGTCCAATTTGTACGGGACGAACCAACAGGAAATTGTTAACGAGATTGTGGTACTGACATCAGCCCGTCTGATGGGGTATCTACCGATAGGTTGCAATGAATTGCGAAGTGCAAGATAAGGTGATTGAACCATGTGCTTTGCCCGATATAGCTCAGTGGATAAGGCGCGAAATTACTGTTCGCAGGGACTGTGGTTCAAACCCAAGCTCTCCATCTCGACTGCTTCTGTATAGGCCTGGACAACCTGACAATATCTCAACCCTCGTAATTCATTCAAATGGCATAGCAGCACTTGCATTTCCCGCTGAACACTTTCGGTCAAGTTTTTGAGCCAAAGTCTTAGACTATGGACCCTAATCGTCCTCCTATCCGGGTGTGGGCGCCCTGGAAATATCCCGGTCCACGTACAACCATGATAATTGCTATATCGGCCGTCGCGTGGTATCACCAGCTGGGTCGGCTAACTTGCTGCATACAACCGGACGGTAAGCAAATACATACTGCTGCTGCCTTCCTTACACTTTAAAGTTTCGCCCCTTCCCTACTCCACCCAAGTTTGAATACTTTTTCCGCAGGTGCCAGCACTCGTATTGACCACCTGGTTCGCAATGTACTGCCCTTAGATGCAGCTCCTGTAGCTTCGACTTCAGCGACAGCCCTAAATACTTCGACGTCTGCTTTCAAACCCCGAGAGTCCGTCTACGGAGCAGTCTTTAATGTTCGCATACTGGAACAAGCAGGGCAACAGGTGGCTCTCTCCCGTATGCTGTCTGTCAGGAACAATACTGCAGGGCGTAAGTACTGTAATTGAACTGACTGCATCGCTCTCTTTCAGTTTCCAGCTGCCTACTTCTGGTTGTAACTAGATATGCCAGGCTGCATGTTGTATCGGGTGGCCGAGCGGAAGCATCTCTACTTGATTGAATACCTGTTGAAATTCATGTTTGCGTGATTCGTTTGGCAGCGTGTGTGAAACAATCTAGAGAAATTGAAGTTCATCCGCTCCACGTTTCTTGGATCTGCTTAAACCCCAACGGACTGTAGCCCTGAATCTGCTAAAAGCGGTTTTTTGGCGCTATAGGTGCTGTTTTGCAACGGTCTAAAAGGTCAGACATCGTTGTAGTTGCTGGTGACATGAACACCAATGTAGCTAGATTAAGCGCTGCTGAAGCCCAGTTGAGCGGTCACCTCGGGTTGGATACGGGACGGAAAATGGGGGTCGTCTGCTTCAGATGTGTGTTGATCACAGTGTGGTGCCGATTTTCGGAACAGCGGAAATCGTTTGAAGACGTGCCCACCAGTGAACCGCATCACCGTCAGTTACCGGTGGGGAGGCTCGATCACTTCCGCTGTTTCCGGAATACAAGCGTGGACTCCGACCATACACCGGTACGCTGTGGCTTTTCATTGCGCTCTTCAGACACAAAAATATTTTCATTTGTAACACTATTTGGGCACCTATTTGCCGTGCCACTTTTTACGGGCCACAATTTTCCTAATGCCTTCTTACTACCGTGAACCCGAGTTGGGATAGCCGCTTAATAGCGTGATGCGCTCAGCCAAACTAGAAAACCAGTGAACATGCGAGTCAACTGATCTGTTGAAAAATGACGCGTAGAGGAGTGTCATGTGCAGCCGAAAACGCGTTCACGTGGAAAGTTCTAAGCGGACCAAAAAGTGATGCGAAAAATAAAACTCATCTATCAAGGGCAAGTGAAGAACAACCAGCTAAATCCGGCCCGGTAATAGTTTTCTCCTGGCTGAAAACACAACTCAACCTGACACATCGTCCGACCCCTAGTAAAACTGCATACAGGCCGCGAAGCTGATGGACCCGAAAAGCCGAAAAATAGATGCGAAAAATGCTGGGAAAGTCCGTATGCTTTTCCACCTGATTAGTGTGACGACATCGGTCTCATCTTTGAAGACGAAGGCGCAGTACAAGCCGTGTTGAATAGACTGACCACCATCATACCATCTTTCGGCATGCATCTGGCACCTTCAAATTAGAAATTCAGGCTTCGCACGCCCAGTGCCTGAACATGCTCCTTAAAATTTAAGGAGAATCACTAGAGTTTGTGGAGAACTTTACGCACCTTGGTAGTTGTACCAGCTCTGATAGGAGTATGTCTGATGTTGTGAGCGCATAAATCTCAAAAGTCAGATTCATGTGTGTTAATTTGTCCCGCTTGTGGGGCGGAAGGGCATTTTGGTGGGTCTCAAGGATCGCATTTACCAGGCTACAGTAAAAATTGCATCAATGTGTGATTGAAAACACGGCCTCTGTGGTGCGTCTTCAGATTTTCTACGATTGGTGCATCGGAAGCACTTTTGATGTTAGCAGGTGTCAACAAATTTTTGACGAGGTAGTTAGAAAAGTGGTATTTAGTTGTACTTCAGTCGCGGGAAACATCCAGCACCATCAACTGCGTCGCTCCCTCCATGTGTTGCGCATGATGAAGTATTGTCCACCGAGACAAGGGTTCTGCCAGCCTCCGGACGCCTTAACCCCGAAGTAGACAAGTTGTAGCTTGGTTGGAGTGTGAAAGTGATCACGAACTTTTTGGGTGTTGGTGTGGTTCGGCTTCCAGGATGAAGTCCCCTTGACCCCTCCAATTCTTGGCGCGATATGTTTGGAGAAGTGGTAGCTGATTGGTGTCAGTAGCTTTCACGCTGTTAGGTTCTTTCCAGATTGTCTGCTTGAGTACCTGGAGGTGCAGGCATCCCAGAATGCTTGCGATGGGCCATCATCAGGTCCGCTCACTCACACACACACACACTCACTCACTCACTCACTCACTCATTCACTCACTCACTTTTCTTTTCACTCTAAGCCTTTAAAAAATAAGTAGATTAACCTTGTGGTCTTAATGCATCAGCACTAACACAGATGTTCCTATATCTTAAGGAATCGAAACAGCTCAGTGGTCAAGGTGCCAGCTTACAGAACGGAAGATCGTTTGTTCGCACCCAATTTCAGCATCTCGACTGCTTCTGTCTGGGATTGAGCAGTATTCCAGCCCTCGTGTCTCCTCCCGTTGTTATGGGAGCTAGGCACCGAAAAGGTGCTACAGATGAACAGTTTTTTATATTTAGATTGAAGACCCCATAATCAAGGCACTCGTTATTTATTACTTTTTGTGCTGAATCAGGCTGTTGATGTAAAAAATGAGGCTATATATGCCAGAAACTTGAAGGATTTGCTTCCGCTATATGACGCTGCAGGAGGACTTCAAACAGGTCCGGTTAACCTTACTGAGAATGTCCAACACCGCTACGCGAGATAGATTTAGACATGCAGAGGCTTCTTCTAGGAGGATTATAGAAAGATGCTCACCATCATTAGAGGGATGCGGCCTTATTAGTCACTTTGTCCAGTGGATTTAAATTTCCCGTGGTTTTGCCTGTCTAGACTCATCTACATTTCTACGCCAGACTAAAAAATCCAGCTTTGAAAATACTGTTCCAGGTTGAAGGAAGACGGGTTACTCATACGCCTCTGTAAGTCTTTACTCGGAATTGATCTTAAATTGCTGGAATGGTTCACATTTTTTTATGCTTTTACGAAGTAAGTACTTGCAGACAAAGCGTTTTGAAATCTAGGGTGATGGTAGAAACGCCTCGGTCACACAGCTGCACATCATTACCAGAACAATCACTTCCCACCTTAACTGTTGTTTTTGGCTAGCCTCTCAAGGGACCGGTTTTACATGGAGCTGGTGAGTGTTATGTTATGTTTTTGGCATCACGTTTGAATTGAAACCAGGTTTCCAAGTATCCGAAACGGGCACCATCAAAAATGGGCGGCATGGGACTGCTGGCCTTTGCAATGACCTTAACCATCTGACGCAACAGAGAACTGTCGCCAGTCGTGATCAAATCGGGCATTTCACACCTATGACATACATCGTCTGGATTTTTCTATTAGGAAGGATACGAAAAGATGGTGGAACCGCCCGCCTCAAATGAACCTGAGACGAAGAAATATTTAGTTTTGTAGACAGGTGTCATGGATGCTATTGGTATAGGTCCGTCACGAAGAGACTGGACCTTACCGTGGTGTGATGGTTTGCGCACCCCAGCGATCCATTGAGCTATACTGGGGCGTGTCCCCGTGACACTCACAGAGTCCCTCATACCAGGTTGGTCAATGGTTAGAGGTCTGACGAACACAGTCTTCTTGCCCTCCAAGTTGGAGATTGGAACATATGGCGACTTGTTCCGTAGAAATGGTAATGCGTTTGCATTTCCCGCCAAACACCGCTGCCTTGCGGTTAGGCTTTTGAGCCAAAGGTTTTGATTGAGAACCCTCTTCGTCCTCCTGTCTAGGTGTGGACACCCTGGCAGTATCCCATCCCTCGTAAAACCCTGACATTCACGACTAACAATATTCTCATGCCACATCGGTCGTCGCGTGGTATCACCAAATGGGTCGCCTAACTTGCTGAATACAACCGGGCGGTAAGCAAAAACAGGCTACTACTGATGCCTCCCTTCTTTCTCTTTCACCTACGTTTACTTCCTACTCTCCCCACCCCATTAATAACTCGCTCCTTGTAGACCCAGCACTTAGGACTGATAACTCCGTCCGTCATGCGTGCAGCATCTGCTCGTCACATGGCGCCGACATCTCTAGTTATCTGCAAATCAGCCCTCAAGCCTCGACACCAAGTCTATCTGGCCGCGTTCAATGTCCGCACTCTGAAGCAAACAGGACAACAAGCTGCTCTTGCACTCACACTGGACTCGCTTGGCATTGATGTGTGCTGTTTCTCAGAAACGAGAATCCAAGATGCAAGCGCAGTGATTGAGCTAACTGCCCCGTCAGTCTCCACTCGCTTCCGGCTGCGCACCTCTTGTGATCCAGATGTTGCTGCGGTGGGATGTGCAGGGGTTGGTATTGTGCTGAGTCACCGGGCGGAAGTATCCTTACTTGACTGGACACCTGTTGATAGTCCCCTCTGTGCGGTTCGTCTGGCAACGTCTGTGAAGGAGTCTCACAAGCGGCAAGCTGATAGATGTACGTTTATCGTGTCTGCCTACGCCCCAACTGACTGTAGCCCCGACGCCATCAAAGACAGGTTTTACGGAACCCTGATTGCGCTGCTGCGGCGAGCTAAATGCTCAGACATCGTGGTGCCTCCCGGAGATATGAATGCACAAGTGGGCAGGCTTAGTGCATCTGAGACTCAATTAGGAGGTTGATATGGATTGGACTCGGTACGTACCGAAAATGGGGAACGATTGCTTCAGCTGTGTGCTGATCGCAAGCCGTTTTTATGCAGTACGAGCTTCCGAAATAGCCGAAGTCGTCTGGCAACTTGGTGTCCTCCAACGGCAGACCGGCTACAAACTCCAATCGGCCACATTGCCATCAGTTATTGATGGCGCGGATCAATAACTGACTACCGGTCGTTTTAGAACACATTTGTTAACTCTGACCACGCGCTTGTCCGGAGTCGCTTCTCACTACGTTTCCCGGGGCCGCGTAAGATGCGGACAAATCGCCTGGAAACTGAAAGACTGGCAGATCCGGATGTCAGACGAACTTACACGAATCCTCATCTAGAGTCTCTTCCAAGTGCTTCACCATCAGATGTGAACTCATACTGGGACGAGAGTGTCACCTGTGGCATAGTGCTGAGAATTTTGCATGTGGCATGATCCAACCAGGCGCTCTCAAGCACTAGATATTAGACAGAACGATGGCACTACTGAAATCTCGGAGAAATATCCCAACCGGCCCCGAACATAACCAGATGCGAAGAGTTATCAGACGTCAACTGAATGTGAACTTGCGGTCCGACCGTGATGTATGGTAGACACAGAAAGTCGGTAATGCCCGAAGATTATTTCAGTTGATCCGTGCGACCGGTCCCCGGAAACCACCTGTGAGTGAAACTATCAAACACCAGAATGGAACGACCATCTCGGACAAAGAAGAACGCCTCGACCGATGAGCTGAATACTTCGAACAACAACTGTCGTGGCTACCAGCCGGCTTTGATCTAGAACCCACAGGTGAAGTAGAACCCTGGACGGTGAACGTGGAACCACCTACGGCCTCGGAGGTTTACGACTGCATATGTTCTCTCAAGCGCCACCGAG